GGATGCTTTGATTACTTATTTTCTTGGCACTCTCCTTGTCCAAGACAACAAGCTCTGTGTGCCTAGCATAGTTTTTTTTTTTTCCTGGTGTTCCTGGAGGAGAAGCCTCAAAAAACAAAGCCAGTTCTTATTTTCCCGTTGCTGAGAAGAAAATGATTTTTTGAGTGGGATGATTCTTATCACAAGAGGGGCTGAATGTCAGTGAAAGACCCTTGTGATGTTCTCTGCCAGTTGCTTTAATTCACTTTAATTAGAAAGGCAACACGGTTGATGGGGCTTTTGCTCTCTGCCAAATGCCTTGGAGTGTTTATATGCCAGGCACTGAGCTATGATCTTTTCCCACACAATTGTATTTACACCCCAAGCCCAGCCTGTGCCCTTGGTTTATGATCCCATTTAGCTGATGAAACCAGAGTCGCATGTCCAAGGCCACAGAGCTGATAACTATCAAAGCTGGGATCTGAACTAGGTCTGCATGACCACACGGTTTTCAACCACAAAGCTGAATGTAAACAAATGAATCAGCTGTAGTACCTATTTATATTCCAGGAATTTATAGCTCTATTGGCAAGTCAGAATGCACTAGTGAAAAGTAAACAATAGCCCAGCCAGCGTGGCTCAGTAGTTGAGCATCAACCTATGAACCAGGAGGTCACGGTTTAATTCCTGGTCAGGGCACATGCCTGGGTTGCAGGCTCGATCCCCAGTGGGGGGCGTGCAGGAGGCAGCTGATCAATGATTCCCTCTCATCATTGATGTTTCTATCTCTCCCTGTTCCTTCCTCTCTGAAATTAATAAAAATATATATATTTTTAAAAAGTTAAAAATAATGACTGGGTAGCTGAGCATCAAATAAATGGTACAGTCCTTGCTACAGGAGATCAGAGAGCAGAGAGGACAAGGAGGGCCCGGATCACAGCATTTAAGGAAATTCTTCCAGAAGTTGATTTTGGGCTAGAGTTTAGATTTGAATGGACTCTTTTTTTTACCTTTCTCACATAATTGGCTTCTAACTTTACACAGCTGCACGTATAACTAAGTTTCTGCCGGTTTGCTAGTTTAACAAAACACAGGCAATTCAGTAACACGATGTAAACATACAGAATTGTATATTTTAACATGTAACAGGAAAAGGCAGTATCTATAACAGTATCTATTTTGGTTTCTTTAGTACAGCAGGGGTTGCCAAACTATTGCCCACAGGCCAAATCTGGCATGCGACCAGTTTTCATGGGGCCTATCAGCTCAGAATGTTTTAATACATTTTAAATGTTTGGAGAAAAATCAAAACAATATTGTGTGATCTGAAAATTATGTGAAATTCAACTTTCAGTGTTGTAAATAAAGTTTCATTGGAACGCAGCCACACACATTCATTTTCTTTTGTCTAGGGCTGCTAGAGTGGCTGAGTTCTTGCCAACAGACACATGGTCTGCAAAGCCTAAAATATTTGCTGGCCTTTTACAGAAAAAGTTTGCAGACCCCTGTCACAAAGTTAGACATATTCAGAATATTCCCCGTCAGCCCCAATACATATTTTGGGGGAAGAAAATAGAAAAATACAGAATTATGCATTCACCATTCAGAGTTGACAATGTTTTGCTATTTGCTTCAAATCCATTTTATAAGTAAAAGGCATAAAACTTTACAACATTCATCAAATGACTATAACACGTTTCATTGATCTATTCCCCTGATGATCAGTTAGGACGGTTGTTCCCAGGTCTTTTTTTAATATATATATTTTTTATTGATTTCAGAGAGGAAAGGAGAGGGAGAGATAGAAACATCAATGATGAAACGTCAATCACTGATAGGCTGCCTCCTGCACACCCCCCACTGGGGATCCAGCATATGCCCTGAAGGGGAACCCAGCCTTGACCTCCTGGTTCATAGGTCAACCACTGAGCCACTGGCTCGCTGGGCCCCAGGTCTGTTCTATTCCCAACAAATGCTTGCATGCCCAATAACATCAGGAGGGGTGCTCATCTCATTGGAACGCTCTTGTTTGTAAGCGCCGGAGGGGGGGGGGGGGTTGGAAATACCAGACAAGCTAAATGCCTGCAAATCCACTCAGATGACAAGAGGACTTTGAACCTTTCATTAATTTGGCTCGACTCCCTTTTAAACTCTTGATTCCCCTTTTGGCTGCTTGGCAGGGTCCGTGAGACACGCCCTGGGTAACTCTCGGTTCAGGACCGGGTTTCCCCAACCACCCAAGGCAGGTCTTTCCCTCCCCTCCCGCGGCAGCGCTGATCCCAGCTGGGGCCCTAAACACACACAAGGCTCAGGAAGGTAGGACGCTGAAAGGGGTGGCCGTTTGGGAAGAACGTCTTCCATATAAAGCATCTGAGTAGTCTTCGGGAAAAGCCAGGCTTCACTGGTTTCGTGTAGTTGGTACATCAGGGGGAGTGGGGGGTGGGGAAGGTACACGATCCCCCAGCATTTAGGGCGGGCCCTGAGCAGTGATGGGGGGGTGGGGGGGGAGGTGGGTGTGGAAGGGGGTTCCCCCGAAGGGGTGTCCCGCAGCCTCGGGAAACTTTCCGGGGCTCAGCCGCCACCCTGCAGTTCCCGCGTGTGGCTAAACAAAACTAACCCAGCCTCCCGAAGGGTGCCGCGGCCGCGGCGGGGAGAACCGGGGCAGGTGCGCGCGGCGGGCGGGGCCCAAGTGGCAGCGCAGCCTCCCGCGCTCGTGCCCTCGGTGGGTCTCCCCCGCCCTCCCTGGTCCGC